CCAGTGTGCTAATGAAGTGATTTTTATTTGGTTTGGGGCACTTCTGGTGTGACCACAAAATCCTGGCCAATTGCAGTGTAAAATGGTGTAAAACCAGTGCACTGAATTATTGTAAGCCACTTCTGCGAAAAGAAGGTCACTCCAGTAATCTTGTTGGTAGTTAATGTAATATCTCAATTAATGTTCTAAGACTCAATATGTGCGGTCACCCCTCCCATTCATCTGAAGATAATGACAGGAGCTAAGCCCTTGGGTGGTGCCAAGCAATTTTAGGGATTCTTGCCAAAATTGTGAATTGAACCCTGCAATCTGAGATAATTCACTGTGGGAATCCATAAAGTCTATAAATATGTTGCACAAAGAGTTTGGCTACAGTATGTGCTAAGGGAATTTTGGGGTAAAGCACAAAGCACACCTGTTTAGAGAAGAGGTAGATTAGAGGTAGGCAGGGGTGAAATCCTCCCAGTTCAACCCAGTTCAGCTGAACTGGTAGGGATGATTGTCCTTGGTTCTGCAAACTGGTAGTTAGGAAAAAAAAGCTTCCGAGGATCATGCAGTGTAGCTGTGAGCCATGCGATCCTTGGAAGCTTTTTTCCCCACTTTTTAAAGCATTTTTTCCCTACCGGTTCGCCTGAAAATACTTTAAAAAGCGGGAACCGTGTGATCTTTGGAAGCTTTTTTTTAAAGCTTTTTAAAGCATTTTTTTTTCCTGCCAGTTCACTCGAACCGGCAGTGAAAAAATGCTTTAAAACGTGAAAAAAAGTTGGCCGTGCCCAGTCACATGACCCCCTCACCAAGTCACCTCCACAGAACTGGTAGAGGGAAAATTATATTTCACCACTGGAGCTAGGTGTGTTTCCTGAATTTTCTGGTCACTCTACTATATAGTCCATGGAGATTTCTTTCCAGGACGCTTGAAGTTTTGCCACTGGTTGAAGGAGACCTGGGGTTTACCCTAGACATCTCTTGGCTGATGAGCATATAGGGTAGCTTGCCACATAAGTTTCAGTGTTCTTTTTTAGATATGGCCATCGGAATTGGTGTTTCACTAGGTGTAGCGTTTTTATGAAACCAATATGCCCTGCATTTTTAGTGTCATGACTTCTTTGGAGGATCAGAGTGTATTTGCTTTATAGAATATACAACTTGTCCCCTACCTATGCTAAGTCATCTCATATGGTGCACTCTGTTTTTTAGGTTCTAAACTGTTTGTTTTTCTATAATGTCATTTTTAGTGTTTTCAGTAGCTTGGCTGGCATCTGGGGGTGGTTTTCACTTGCATCCCGGTGATGGTTGGGGCTGCTAGCTGTTGGAAGGAAATAATTGGGCTAACAATTTCAACTTTCAAGCTGTCATATTGGGGTAGCTATGAGAGGGCATTGGCTAGAAAGTGTCCCCCCCCCCCGTCTCCCAGGAGATATTGTAGTGTGAAATTGAAGTGATTGAAGTATTGAGTCTGACAGACCTGTTTTGGAGAAACCTTCTAGGATTTTTTTTTAAGTTTCTAGATTTTTGTCATCCATCCACACCTTGAAAAAGGGCCTCCCTCCCCTCTCTAAAAAATTAGGATCACCCACCACACTGTATATGCCTCTTTTCCTCAAACCACCCATCTCCACTCTGTGTTTTTGCCGGTATGTATAAGCGCACGGCTGTACAATTCCCTGGTCATTTTTCAAGGCTAGTATAGCACCAACCGCTACATCACTGGCATAACCCTGAATAATAAATGAGGTATTTGGGTCTGAATGTTTTAACATGGGTTCCCCTGCAAATACTTTCTCAAATGCTTCTTGGTATTCCACTGACCACTTTAGGGGTACACTGAGTTTGGGTTTCCCTTTCCCTTTTGTTTTCAATAAGTTGGTGTTGGGAAATGCTATTTGAGTGAACAATGGGATGAACTGATGGTAAGCTTTGAAGTTGTTTTCAAGTGAGCAGTGGTTCCCCTTCTAGTACCACCCATACCTTTTCTGGGTCCATCTCCACTCTCTTGTTGGAGATGCAATAGCCTAAATAATCTATCTTCTGCTTGTGGAATTCACATTTGGTGAATAGTCAAGTGGCCCAAAGTTTCTTTAGCACTGTCCTAACTAACTTCACATGCTCAGTCATGGATTTGGTGTAAATAAGAATGTCCACTAGGTAGACTAAGACCCCTTTATACAGTTGCTCATGCAGAATCTTGTTACTTAACTGCATGAAGATGGTAGGGGCACCCAGCAGCCCAAAAGGGAGTACACAAAACTGAAAACATCTCAGAGGGCAATTGAAAGTGGTTTTCCATGCATCCCCCTCTTTAATCTGCACTCTGTAGTATGCCTCAAAGGATCATCATCCATCTCAATTTTGGCCTTCCCTCTCCCAGGCTCCTGGCTGGTGCAGTTGGAGTTCCCTCGCAATCTGGGTGATGGGGTGAACTCAATGACCTCCATTCCTTTCAGAGCTGTTTCCTGGGTTCTTGGGGGGACTTTTCCTGCCTTCTTTGTGGGGCCAGAGACTTGTTTTGGCATCAGGCATGGGAGTCACTGCCCTGTGTTCTTCCTTCCTACACTTAAAGAACCCTGTGGAGCAATGATGTGGGCTGGGGACATGTCCCCCTTGTTTGGGGTTTCTCTTCTTTCTGTCCGGAGGGATCTTTACCACTTGCAATTAGAATGGTTGTGGGACCTGGATTGGTTGATCCCCATCTCATCAGCTAGGACATACCAGTCCTGGAGGGTTTGCGGTGCACCTCTGGAGATGCAGGTGTTGTAAATGTCATCGTTCATGCTGTCTTGAAAGCATTCAATCAGCATGTTTCGCTGGCTAGTCTACACACCAAGCTTCAGAACTCCTGGATGTAGGTGGCCATGTCGTCTGCCCTGTGTTATGGTCTTGATTCTCATTCAAGCTTTTCAGTCGGCCAGAGAATTCGCAAACCTTTTCTGGAGGGCCCTCATAAATCAGTTGAAATTGCATAGTTCTGGCACATCATCATTGTTGAACTTTGGCAAGAAATTCACTCAAAGTATNTTGCCACATATCCAGTACATGTTGTTTGGGGCAACCCATACTTCTGTCGTGCTATTAAGATAAGGAAGTAGGGTAACATTAAACTTTTGAGGCTCCGTCTCTTTACCAGGAGAGATCCAGGTTTTATACTCCTGATCCCAGAGTCCTATACAAATGAGGTCCACTACGGATACGGTCTGGTTCCTTGTAAAGCAGTTTCGCTCCACTAAGTTAGTTGATAACGTCCAGACAATACCAGCAAAGTGAGTTCTGGCCAAAATGTTCCCTGCCCTAGACATACTATTGAAAACCTCAGTGCTGGCTTCCATGGCTTCCCATGGCCATTGTTCACCCATGTTCGTACCGCCACATACAAAACTATTCTTTACCGACAGTGTTTTTGCTACTTCTTCCGCTATTTCTATAAATAAATTATTAGCCTTTGTACTTATAGAGAGTGGGCTATTATCTAGTTTGCTCAAATTGTAATATACAGACCAGCCCAAGGATCTAATTTGCCCATCGTAGATTCTCTCTATTCTTACAGTTAGGTAAGTCAGAGGATCTGCCCCTATTCCATCAATTCCAAATCCATAGGCCTTTAAGAGTGGATGGGTCCTATATACTTCCAACTTAACCCGGTTGCTATCCTTAACTCTGGTGAAGTTGCCTAATCCCAGACACCCCTGATATCTGCCCCCAATAGTTTCACACACACACTCCCACCTTGCACATTGCAATGAACCTGCACAAGGTAACCATGTCATATGTCTGGCTGTAATCCAGGTGGTGTCAGTTTTACACATATACTTATAGTTGTGTTTGTATGCATCCTTCCAGGAATGGGACCCACATCCCATTCTACCTGTTTTGCCTGGTTCATCTATGGCCATGCAAGCATCGAACTCCAATACTACCCTTTCCTTTCCTTGTAAATCACAGTGGTGTGATTTACATATGCATACAGACCCTCTAGCTTTCCATTATAGATTTGCCCGAACCCAATATATAATGTAACATTTAGCCTTTCTGTGGTTAGAGGTTTGTAGCAAGTTTCCTTACCCCCTATAGTACATAACGTATACATGGTTCCATTTCTCTGGCAAGTTTTTCTCGTTGGTTTACAATCTCTTG